TCCTGCATTGGCTGAGAATGTTCATTGGGAATTTCCGACGTGGTTTCCTCTTGTCGGTGGTGCAGGATGGATGGCCTGACAAGGACAGCTGTCTAGTCTTTCGGATGGGATGAAAAAACGAGGTACACATTGGCGTGCATGTAAAAGATCCCTTGGAAGTTGGAATTCGAAATAAGAGTAGGCCATAGTGCTGCTGCCCGGGCAAAAGTTTCTTCATAGCACACTGCATGGCTTATGCCCAGTTGGAGTAGGATGTTAAACCCCATTTCATTTCATTTACTTCTCCAATGGATATATCAGACCTTAACTCTTTTAACTACATGTATGGAATATATGAACAGACTATACTTATCATTATATACATGTACATGTGTCATGATTTGGAAATACCCTCCCCCCCCCCCCCCCCCCACAAACAGGTCTTAAAACATAAAATGAACACTGAAAACTCAGGATTACGGCCTGATGAACAGATAATCTACTAAGGATTAACAAAGTAGGCCTTCTTGTCACCCTAGCCATTAGTAAATCATTAAACAATGCCAAGGTCAGAGGGAATTACCCTATCAATAAATTTTGTGTTTGATTATAACAGTCTGTCTGGTTGGCCAGTTTCCTTTATTGTCCACACCTTTTGAAGACACAATAACTCTTCTCCTAATTGAGTTTAGACTAAGCAGAGATAAGCAATTTAATTGATTGATGCTTTGGGACACGATAACTTTAGTTCTAATTAAGTGAGAGTGATGACCCTTGGTGTATAGTTTCATTACAGCAATACATGTACATTGTACCATCACAAAGTTTGATGATGAGCATTTTCTACTCAGGGAAAGCAGAACGATAAGCAGTTTGATTGGTTGAGACTTTGGAACACAGTAACTCTCCTTCTAATTGATGAAGAATGTTCAAACTCTGTGTAGCATAGTTCGAAGATGAGAATTTTCTGCTTAGGGTCAGCTGAGTTAAGCAATAGATTTCTTAATGCTTTAGGGCACAATGACTTTTGTTCTAATTAGGTCAGAGTGATGAAATATGGTGTATAGCTTCATTACATGAATACCTTGACTAAGTTTGATAATGTGCATTTTCTGCTAAGGGAAAGCAGATCTTGAGCGATAAGCAATTTGATTGGTCGAGACTTTGGAGCTCGACATCCTTGATTCTAAATGAGTGCTTAGAGTGGAGAAACTTTGTGTATAGTAGTTACATTACATCACTACCTTGACTAATTTTGATGATGAACATTTTCTGCTTAGACAAGAGACTTCAATCTGATTGGTTGAGACTTTGGAACACAGTAACTCTCCTTCTAATTGAGGAAGCATGTTAAAACTTGGTGTAGATATCTATTAGGTGTATCTCTAGACAGAGTTCGATGATACATATTTTCCACTAATAAGGCTAAGCAGAGAAATGCAATTTGATTGGTTGCATGAGACTTTGGAACACAATAACTTTTGTTCTAATTAATCTTATTGGGTGGGTGAGAGTGATGCAACCCAGAGTATAGATTCATTATTTAAATGATGAGAAGTTTCTGCTTGAGCTATGTAGCTATATAAGCATTTTGATTGGTCAAAACTTTGAAACATAACAATACTGCTTTAATTGAGGTACATGTAGAATGTTTAGACTTGTGTAGGTGTGCATTATGTGAATGTCTTGACTGAGTTCAATGATTAACATTTTATCAATGCTTTGGGACAAGATAACTTTTATTCTAATTTATGGAGAGTGATGAAACTTAGTGTAGAGTTTCACTACCAGGTACATGTACTTCAAAACCTTGACTGAGTTCAATTGTGAACATTTTCTACTTAAACTAAGTATAGATACATGTAATCAGTTTGATTGCTCGATACTTTTCAAAAAGATGAATGTGCAATTAATTAAAGGGGCATTATGTAAGAATTACATGTAGATAAAGTGCTAGCTGTTCTCGCTTTAATTTTCAAAAATAGATACTGCAAAATGAATATATTAAAAATTTCATTCAAATTACTTTACCTTGAGCGAAGTTATCAATAGTTGTAGTTTTGACAAGATGTGTGCATCTTAGCTTCATTTCTCCATTTTTAACCGTTCTACTCCACTTAAAATTTGAGCCATCCAATGGCATCGAGAGTTGATTATAATCTTGTCATGTTAATAAATGTCTAATTATCCTATGCAAACCTTATGTGGAGTAGCAACCCTGCCTTGCCCAGCTACTGTGATCAGACTATGAATCTTCTGATTATAGTCCCATTGATATTCCAAGAAGTTGTTTTTCCTTATGCTTTCCAAACAAGTGTAGTTATCTTGTTGATAATTTATATAACATTTAAGGCCCAAATAAAGACCTGCAATACATGTAGGTAGATTTATCACAGTAATATGTCTGTATTTATTTTGGGATTGCGGTGGGGGACATCAGCCTCACTGTTGGCTTGTTTACATATTTATCGACCAATGGGAAATTGTGTTTTATAACTTTTCAGCAGGTCGCTAGAACCCTTGCCAAACAAAAAGCTGTTGTTACCGGTTTGACATGGTTAAAGAGTTACAGGGAACAAACCTCATTGATTCGGTCAAAATAAAGTTCTGAATTGGGTTTATCTGATGTGTTAATTTTATTTGATTAGGCAAGCCCTATTTAATGAAATACATGTATAGAAGAATAAGCATAGTTTGGCCTGTCTATTAATTATACTTAGTTTCAGTTTTGGCCAATCACATTGATAGTGGGACGCAAAACTTTAATACCAGTGCATTTATATTAACACTGGCTTAATCTGTAGATTTATCCATCAAAAAAAAATTCTCCTAAAACATCTAATGATACCAACAAATACTTTCAAAGATGCTTAGAAAAGTCACATGTCAGAGTTTTTTGTGTATGTGATATTCACATCATGCATGTATTGCAAAGACTGTGAATGATCGCCTCATTTCATGCACTTCGGGTATGTGCTGACATTGGTTTACTTATTAGAGGCCGCATCAACTAACAATAGTGGTGACGTTAACTTTCTTAAGAGTAAAAATTGTGGGGGACCCTTCGGGACTATATCTTATCGTTAATGCCATCCGGTGCAAATGTTTTTAAAGTGTGAATCCATTTGAAATCATTGGCTTTTCTAATGGCACCATTTTTTCATTATCAGGGTCAGTCTTAAAAATTGAAATGTATTGCAACCGGTTTTGGCCTTTTATGTCTAATGTCTGCATAGTTTTCCTTTATTCTTTTTGAAAAGGCAGCTTGCTTTGTGCTAGGTATTGTTTTTTACAAAGAGAGCAGGTTAATAGGTAGACTATATTTCTACTCAAACAATTCTAACCAGTACGGCAAGAAAATTTCTTAGGTGTGTAGCTAAGTAGCTAAATGTAAGGCCCTTTGACAGTAGGCTTATTTCCGTTTCATTAAGCGGTTTTACCACTGATGAAGTAGTTGTTTTGGTATAATTTATTGCAGATATCACAATCTTACTTGATACAATTTTCGAATAAATTTTGGACCGTAACTCCACTCGTTTGCGGATTTCTCGGTGGGTATATAAGTCTTAGCGTATCTTTTAGATTAGGGTTTCTTCTAAAGGCTGTGATGGATTTAATATCTGAAATAGGACGGCACATTTCCGAACCAGTTAATAGCTGCCATTTCTCTTTTATGAGCATGCTAATAACAGTCGGATTATAATCCGTGATAAAAAGCAGCGACTTTCTTTTCTTTAAAATGGTTGCCGTAGTCGGGCATAACAGATCTTTTCTGGCCAAAGATTTAGCCCTGTTCTTATTATCCATCACTACTTTGTGTGGATAGCCCCTTTTGAAAAAAAATTGGGAAGGTTTTGGCTATGTCTGTCATAGTCTATTTCTAAGCTACAAATTTGTTGAAGTTGTAGAAGTTGAATGAAAGGTCCTTTCGTCTTGATGTGGGTGGGGTGGCACGATGTATATAGAAGGTAGGAGTGTGAATCGATGGTTTTGTTATTCAAGTCAAAATGTAACTTGTTTGTAATTTGGTGAAAGAAACTTTTTCTCTAGAGTATTCTGCAGCGAACTTAATTGTTCCGTGCATACAGTTCATTTCTTTTATGGATCTTTCTAATCTAGCTTAGGTATGGAACCAGATCATAAAAATATCAGGCTATAGGGGAACCCATTGCCGTTCCAGAGATTTGATGGAAAATTTCATCATTGAAAGTAAACACATCATTATTCTGTAGAATGAATTCTAAGAGTTTAAGCAAGTAGGTGGGTGTAATGCTCCACTCTGGTTTTCTTATTGCCCGGGCAACATGTAATATGCCCTATCTATTAGGTATGTTAGTGTATGAGAACGTATTCACCCACATGGAAATGTGGTCGCATCGGTCCCCCGTCCGTACATGTACGTCCACAGTTTCTTGTGAACACTCTACAGACTACATTTATCAACTGATTATTTTGAAATTGATATATGTTGTTAACATCAGTGAGATGAAGAAGCCTATTTAATTTCAATAATTTCTTCTGGAGTTATGGTCCTTGTTTCATTTCGTTGAACCTTGTGAACGATGATAACCACAAAAGTTATCCGATCTGTATGGAATTTATATGCATCATTTAAATTAGTGAAACAAAAAAGCTTATTGAATTTGAATAATTACTTTTGATTACATCTAGAGTTATGGCCCCTGTTTCACTTTGTTGAACCTTGTGAACACTCTAACAACAAAAGTTATCATCCGATCTGTAGGAAATTTATATGCGTCATTTAGATTTGTGACACTAAGAAGCCTATTGAATTTCAGCAATTTCCATCAATTACTGCTAAATTTGTTTTACTTTGTTGACCTAGATTAGAGTTGTTTCCAATATACTAGAACTCACTAGAAGGGATTGGCGTTTAGTATGGTTTCAGTAAAAGGCTGGGATCAGCATGGTGGAAAAATATACAAAAGGGACTCATTTAAAGTGAGTGGGACATAAATATATCTTTTACTGTAAACCATAATTTTGTTTGTTTTATTTAGGTAATGGAGACAGAAAGGATGCTGTATTTAGTAACAGAATATGCTAGTGGAGGAGAAATATTTGGTAAGTCTACATGTATAATATATATATATACTTCATTTAGTAATTCAAATAATTTCAAAAGAAATTTAAAGTGTTCTTGAAGCATCTGTTACATATTTTTATACTACATGTATGGTTAATTAGCATAATTTGACTTTTGAGGTAAACACAACAACAGACATTTTCTGGAACCTATATCCATAGTTACATGTATACCTGGAGATTTTAACTATCAATTTGTTTTACAATAATGGCTCATATTAAAACAATCTATATAGGTTGAACTGATGTTTGGTTGATTGAATGACATCTAACAGTTTTAATAAAAGTACAATACAAAAACACTAGAGGAGGTGTTCACTTTACTGATTAGTCGGCAAGTGAACATACAGTAATTGCTATCTGATATAGATGTATGCCTACATATATAGCTGTGCTTTTTGAGCTGATAATGCTCATTAGCATTGCTTTAGTTAGGCTAGGTGACCATCACATGGAAACTCAGTATGACATCACTACAGCTGTGCTGTTTGTGTATATACAACTGGCGGTAGTTTTTTCTTTGATGTCCATAGCAGTTATATCTCATAACAACCTGTCATGACGTCATCATAGGTTGATATATTCGTTCATATCAACCGCTGATGATGTCATGACAGGTTGATATTTCATATCAACCGCTAATGACGTCATCTCAGGTCGATATATTCGGCTCATATCAACCGTTGATGACATAGATGATCGAAATAAAACAAAAAAACACAGAAATAAATTTTTATTCTTTTGAGAATTAAAAATTGTTATGGTACAGTTTGTAACATTCTGGGCCGAAATAGACGGCGTACTTATCGATATACATGTATTTAGATCGGTTATCCATGTCTAAGACATGTCAGAATTTTCATTTCGTCCTCATTGCGATTATTTCTCCACACACTACAAGACTTGAAAGTATTTATCGCCCAAGAGTTTCTTTGTAAAGTATTTTTGGGTACAGTCCACTTAAAACAGTCAGTCAAATCCTTCTCTGAACGTACCCAAAACCTTCAATCATGGTTTACTGTCAGAATTCTTGGAAAAGAATGCCTTTTGGTCCAAATTTTCTGCAGGCTTTGGATAGATCCTCGTCGATATTTGCATTCACATCTATTCCATCGTCAATATGTTGGCTAAAAAGGATTGATTATTCGTCTGACTTCGTATTACTATCCATTTTGTTTTTGCTTTCAATTCAATAGTCCAAAATGGCGATGTATAAACAAAAACATACACATAATTACACGTGATTACTTCGGTAATTTTCGCTATTTGGCGGAAACTATCGAGCAATTATCCAATCATTGTTGCCTTTTAATGGAAGAGCCCATTAAATTTAAGGGTGAAATGGCGTTGTATATGTCGGATATAAACCTACTCTCCCTCAGATTGATATGGTAGAGAACGCGCGTTCTCTACCATATCAACCTCGGGTAGGTTAATATCCTATACATAACATACCATACATGTACATGTATATTTAGCTAACAACAACCTTACCTTTGTATATCAAAGGAATTACCTAATGTGGGTTTAGTCATTGGGGATAATATCAATGTTATGGTGAAGTTCTTCTGTATACCTTATTCGTCTTAAGTTTAAATGGAAAGATCATAATCATCATCTTCATTATCATATAGGACAATACATGTATTACATATAAAAATGACCTACATATACTTGTGAAAGTGAATGTAACCTGTTATATTGCTTAGTTTGTACAAAGTTCATAGATACATGTACATATAGACAACAAACAAATATATATACACCTGTCCTACACTGTACATGTATAACTAGAATAGTATACCATTTTTAAAGTAGCACTGTCTCATTTATACAGTTAATTCAGGTGGACCACACGACCCACCACTAACAAAACTAACAAAAGCATACACAAGAATGTAAAGAGGACAAAACCTTGACATTGTATATAAGCTATGCATGATGTTTCAATTTATTAGGACAAAAAAGTTTCACAAGCTGAAATTGAAATGAAGACAACTAACAATGGAAACAGCACATGATTATCAGTGAGGTAATTCTACATGTATCACTGTTGATTAGTTTTATTTCTTTGAAGTGTATCTTCTTTATCTAATCTGTTCACTAAAGGGTTAACTATTCAATACTTGTGCAGATTAAAAGGGGTACGAGTCTGGTGATTGAAAAATAGAATATATTTTTTTATTAAGGAATGGTAATGTAATCTAATTGTGCACAGAAAGAAATGTACATACATGTACATATAAATATTTGGGTGGCTGGTATGGAAAAGATCGTAGAATTATTATAGACACATGAAGATGGCAGTAGAAGTTAATGTACATGTCAACTTCAAATAGCTATAAACTTAATTGATCAATTTAAATAATTTTTAGACCAGTATGTATTTCGGTAATAGTATTTTCAAAATTTGTGTGGTCTTTACCACTATATTCTGGCATGTTGTCTCTTTAATTTCTGTTTTATTTGTTTTGGTTGTGTAAAAGTACATATATTATGACCCTTTAGTTGTATAAGATTAGATTACAGTAATATATATTACACAGAAGATTTACGACAGGTGACACATAGTCATTATACAATACTACACACCTCCCATCTAATGATATAAGACCCTTAGAGACCCTTCTAATATACACACCTTTTATTTACTAGGTATACATGTAGTATAGGTAACATGATGTCATAATATTTATTGGCATCAGCACAGGGATTATAAAACACTATTTTGTCCCCTCACTTCCTGTTCAAAATCTTGTATCCATGAAAACTTGGCCATTTGTATTGATATCTGTATTTCTGATTATGCAAGTATTTATTGAAATATGAACATAGGCTGGCTATACATTGAACACAGCTAGTGATACCAAATTATTAAAAATGACTTGCAGTATAATTTAGATGTAAGATTTTTTTCAAAAGTATGATATTACCGGTAGGTGGATAAAAAAACAAACGAAATGTACATTCAGTGTGTGATTAATTCTTTTAGTTTCTTTTGTTAGAAGATTGACACTTCCTTTACTAAACTCTTCCTGATTTCTGTTAAATACACATAAAACCAAAATAAAAAATTTAATGGGTTGAAATATACGATTTATTGCGTGAAGTATATGTATGTATACCACATACATGTAAATACAGGTATTAAGATATTTAGTCTCTTTAAAAAAGAATAGATAATTCAAAACTAATTTTACCATGAAATCTTTTTTTAAAAAAATGTCTTCGTCCTCAGTAATAAGATTTAAGATTAACCAGAACATGAGGGTTGGGAGGGCACTACTTAATATACATGTATATGCATGCAGGGACTGATTTATAAGTGGGCACCTGAGGCCCCAGATAGTGATTCATTGTTTTGTTTTTTTAAACAGATATGTGGTTTATCATTTTAGTTCACCTATATTTATTTGTCATGTAATTTAATCTCTATGAAGAGGGTCCCAATGGACTTGATGTGCCCAGGTCTGCTTTTAGGTACAATGTAATTCAGACATTTATTCATCAGTGAGTTGTCCTTCTATCAAATTGTCTTTAATATTAATAATACTGGTTGAAATAAAAATTCTAGATCAATAATTAATATTAGAAGGTTATTGGAATTCATATCGGTTCATGTGCCAGTTATGATGGACCACATCGCCTTTGTCACTTGATTAGTTGGAGACAATTTCCTATCTGACACGTATTGACGTCAGTATGGCACAGCTTCAAATCAAAAAGCAAAATGAAGTTTGAAATATTCTATTGGGAATTAATAAATGTGTGCTTGAAACAAAATTTATTAGTAGATTGTAATTAGAAGTCTGTGAGTAATACGTCAGATATATCCGACATCAGGGTTTCATGTACTTTCCAAAAGTGAGCAGTGATTTCTTGTATCCGTCTCAATAGAAAAGCATATTTTTGTCCCCCGCCTTTCGAAGAAAGCAGGGGACTATTAAAATGGGTTCGTCCGTCTGTCTGTCTGTCTGTCTGTCTGTCTGTCCGTCTGTCTGTCCTTCTGTCTGTCCGTCTGTCTGTCCGTCACACTTTTTGGGACACAATAACTCTCTTCCTAATTGAGCTAGAATGTTCAAACTTGGTGTATGTGTTTATTAGGTCAATGCCTTGATGGAGTTCGAAGATGAGCATTTTCCGCTTAGGGTAAGCAGAGATAAGCAATTTGATTGGTTGATGCTTTGGGACACGATAACTCTCTTCCTAATTGGGCTAGAATGTTCAAACTTGGTGTATGTGTTGATTAGGTCAATGCCTTGATGGAGTTCGAAGATGAGCATTTTCCGCTTAGGGTAAGCAGAGATAAGCAATTTGATTGGTTGATGCTTTGGGACACGATAACTTTTAATTGAGCTAGAATGTTCAAACTTGGTGTATGTGTTTATTAGGTCAATGCCTTGATGGAGTTCGAAGATGAGCATTTTCCGCTTAGGGTAAGCAGAGATAAGCAATTTGATTGGTTGATACTTTGGGGCACGATAACTCTCTTCCTAATTGAGCTAGAATGTTCAAACTTGGTGTATGTGTTGATTAGGTCAATGCCTTGATGGAGTTCGAAGATGAGCATTTTCAGCTTAGGGTAAGCAGAGATAAGCAATTTGATTGGTTGATGCTTTGGGACACGATAACTTTAGTTCTAATTAAGTGAGATTGATGAAACTTGGTGTATAGTTTCATTACAGTAATACCTTGACTAAGTTTGATAATGAGCATTTTCTGCTCAGGGTAAGCAGAGCGATACGCAATTTGATTGGTCGAGACTTTGGAAAACAATAACTCTCCTACTTTGATTGTCCTCCGCCTTTCGAAGAAAGCAGGGAACTATTAAAATGGGTTCGTCCGTCTGTCTGTTTGTCTGTCTGTCCGTTCCGCTTATGGTAAGCAGAGATAAACAATTTGATTGGTTGATCTTCGAATTGAGTAAATGTTCATGCTTATTGTCCCCCGCCTTTCGAAGAAAGCAGGGAACTATTAAA